GACTGACTGACTGACTGACTGACTGACTGACTGACTGACTGACTGACTGACTGACTGACTGTGACTAGTTAAGCTTTCTTACAATATTTTTCCTTCTTCCAACACAGTCGGTACAACCGTAGTCAGTTGCAACAAAACACTTGACGTCGGTATTGTAATGGACTCCTCTGGAAGCCTGGGACCGATTCACTACTCCAAGGAACGAGACTTCATTAAGTCCATCATCCGGGAACTGATCACAGCTTCTCCGCGCAGTCGCGTCGGCATCATACCTTTCAGTGACAATGCTGAAGTTGCGATCAACTTTGAAGACTTTGAGTCGATGTCCACGTCTGCTCTTGATGCTAGTATTGATGGTCTTCCATATGAACAAGCAAGGACTCGAATAGATAGAGCCCTTGATACGGCTAATAGGGGACTATTCACTACTAAACGATACGGGGTACCACAGGTAAGAGGGAAACAGTGTAGATTTTAGTGTATCTAGTACTACTTCCAAAAACGTCAAAAAACCTTCAAATTTCGTATCAACATCCTGGGTGATCAAAGTCACGGCATGGCTAACTCAAAGATCGAACCCTAAAACAACCTCAAGACTGATCAAAGTCAGGACACTGTTTAGCTTGTTTTAGGTTTTTACTGAGGTAGAAAAACGTACCGAAGGACCTGGAAATCTTGAAAGGTAGCTGCTCCTTTGCATAGAAGCGAGACGAACGGTGAGCTGGCAATGATAAAGACCTTTTTATCATCTTGGATAGTTATTCACCTATCTCTATCATTGCGAACTTAGCGTTCTTCTCGCTTCGATGCAAAGGCACGGCTACCTTTCAAGATGGCGCCGGGAACTTTTAAGGGGACTATTGAGAATAAAGCCTTGTGACCGATCCTCAACTATACACATAATGCGCTTCCTTTATTTTCCAGGTACTAATTCTGATTACAGACGGGCGACAATCTAAAGATCTCGGGTACACACCTGTAGATCAGGCAATAATTCCTCTCAGAAACAAAGGCATCAAGACTCTGACTGTTGGCATTGGTAAATACGTTGATCTGGAAGAACTCAAGCTCCTTACCACTGACAATATGAATATATTTATTGTGGGCGCGTTTGATGAATTAGAGGGAATTGTCAGAGGACTGGTGACTAGATCCTGTTCTTTGTAAGGTGAGTTGAATATGTTCCAATTATTATGTTTTGATACTACTGAAACCAGAATCCTCTTCGAATTCTTTTTCTTATTTCTTTCAGAAGAAAACTGAATATATTTAAGTGAATATACTGGGCTGCCTTTCATAACCTTTCAATTACTATAACAACAAGGATCATTCAAGTTTTCAAAACCAACTATGAGAAGCTGGCATCTCGAGGTCCATTTGGTACATCTCACATATCCAGGTTCCATTCGTGCGATATGTATTCTACCAACAGGACAAAATTTTAGACTCTAAAACTCAAGTTGTAAGGGTGGTATAAGATTTTTATCCAATAGAAGTCAGAACCAGCCAGGCTCAGTATTGGGACTTTTTTATAAAGATAATTCATTTATCGAAATTAAGAATAAGCATGGTTTTCTACAACAGCCAGGTATCTAGCTATTTTTCTTCTTTTTATCTGTTACATTGTTCGCATGGAATTACGATAGGTTAGTAAACAAAAAGGAAATTTATATTATATCCAATCGGCACACTAAATAAAGTCTTACGATAGATTAGTAAACAAATCCTACTGGTCGAGTAAAGGAAATTTATATTCTATCAATCCAATCGGCACACTAAATAGAGTGTTAATTTCTCAATAAAAATGTTATTCATCATATCTTTTGTAACATTAATTTGGGGAAGGTCGTATGTTTGTAAATACGGACGAAAAGTCCATAGACCGGTCCATACTCCTGTTCAGCAGGGTCTATAAGGACATTTCTTCCTTTGTCATAACCACCGTGGTCAAAATCCACCACACCATTATTCAGAAATAAGATGTCATATGTGAGGTATAAGTTGTCATACCTTCACAGACATCCTGTTGAACACTGCACTCAAGGGATTCACAACATGGCACAACCTTCATGATGCGCTACTTTAATATCACTTGTACAAACAACATGCGCCCTCACGCCTTGAATATTATGACAGTGCCAATCGAAAATTTTGTAATATTATTGAATCTAATAACGGATAGTTTATCGAACTTTACACGAAGGTAATCTCAATACAAGTCAAATCTTCACCAATATTTGAATTTTGAAAGCCATGACAGCCATCAGGATACGTTACTTATCACTTGCACAGACTGACTACATCCGACCTCACGCCTCTAGAATGTTTTTCTTTTCCAAACAGCAAGGGACTTCTAGCATCAAGTTACTCAAACATAACAGAGATTTCAAAACAGATCCACTATTTTACTTCTAGAAACCTCCACTGACAAGCATCTTGCAGTTTAATGAAGTTCCAGTACCTTTGCCTCGAGTTCTGGTCGATTAGCTTTACTATTCTATTTATAACTGCAGATGTTCCTCTTGTTCCAGGCAGGAACCCAGATGGTGAAGGTAAGAATGTAGACTACCCAAGTTATTCTTTTCTTTGGATTTCCCACGAATTTTATCGGTACCCTGAAACAACCTCTGGGATGATGAAAGTCAGGGCACGGCTCACGTGTAGATTGATAGTTGCATTTCATGTCTGTTGTGTGCCACATGGTAAAATATGCTATAATAGTGAATACACTCACGAATAGCAGCATTACTTGTACCAACAGTGATTGACAGTTTCAAGACAGTTCTTTAGGTAATGTTAGGCATTGTTCAGGACCATATTGACTGTGACTGTCTCCTCTCTCTTTCCTTAAGAATTAGCCTGCGTGCAGCCGAACTAACTAACTGTTAAGTTATACGAGAGAAAAGTCCGGCTGCACGCAGGCTACTTAAGAATACACATGGTCATTCTTTTTATCAACTACAACACTCTTACACTGACACCTTCATAAGCACAATTATCTTAGAGCTGAACATTTTTTAGCCGTTCATCTAATCTATTATTTGGTTTTATAAACTTAAAGCCGAAAGCTTGTCAGACTGAGGATTATCAATTGTTACAGAAATATTGTTTTGGCTTCAAATTGAACGTTTGTCTAAAAACAAACGTGACCTTGATGCAGGAAAAAGCCTCGTTGAACCGCCTTATTTAGTCAGGTCATTACAAGACGTAAAGTAATTAAAGAAGCAGATAGAAAATAAAGTAGTATTCACTTTTGAAGAGGAGTGAATATTTTTCTGGTCGCCACTTGGCTGTATTGCTATTGTGAGACACAAAACTAGTACGGCATTTCGTGACTAAGTCTTTATGTAAATATTAGAGTGTGTGACGAAATGTTCATGTAACCAGATAGTAGTTTTGTAACCAGAGATATAGATAGGGATATATTCTTACACACATGTACTGAGCATAGATCTCAAAGAAAGAAGCAGTAAATATAAGTTCCAGCAAAAACGTGTCAACTATTGGTTCGAACGGAAAGTACCGTGTGTAACATTTTGGCGACCCYGCCAGGACCGCTAATCGAGGAATTTCTCGTAAAAAGGCGGTTCTCTAGACCTGGAAGACGATTGACCTCGTGGTCAAAGAAGTTGATGTTGTGTTGGACGCACATGGATACGAAATTAGCGTTCCTTTGAATGCTTTCATCGCAAATAAGTCAAGCATTCCCTTCGTATGGTACTGAAG